CCTCACTCCCAACACACCCCTCCCTCCTGGCACACCTCACTCCCAACACACCCCTCCCTCCTGGCACACCTCCCTCCCAACACCCCCCTCCCTCCTGGCACACCTCACTCCCAACACACCCCTCCCTCCTGGCACACCTCACTCCCAACACACCCCTCCCTCCTGGCACACCTCACTCCCAACACACCCCTCCCTCCAGGCACACCTCACTCCCAACACCCCCCTCCCTCCTGGCACACCTCACTCCCAACACACCCCTCCCTCCTGGCACACCTCACTCCCAACACACCCCTCCCTCCTGGCACACCTCACTCCCAACCCACCCCTCCCTCCTGGCACACCTCACTTCCAACACATCCCTCCCTCCTGGCACACCTCACTCCCAACACACCCCTCCATCCTAGCACCCCTCACTCCCAACACACCCCTCCCTCCTGGCACACCTCACTCCCAACACACTTCTCCCTCCTGGCAAACCTCACTTCCAACACATCCCTCCCTCTTGGCACACCTCACTCCCAACACATCCCTCCCTCTTGGCACACCTCACTCCCAACACACCCCTCCCTCTTGGCACACCTCACTCCCAACACAACCCTCCCTCCTGGCACACCTCACTCTCAACACACCCCTCCCTCCTGGCACACCTCACTCCCAACACACCCCTCCCTCCTGGCACACCTCACTCCCAACACACCCCTCCCTCCTGGCACACCTCACTCCCAACACACCCCTCCCTCCTGGCACACCTCACTCTCAACACACTTCTCCCTCCTGGCACACCTCACTCCCAACACACCCCTCCCTCCTGGCACACCTTACTCCCAACACACCCCTCCCTCCTGGCACACCTCACTCCCAACACACCCCTCCCTCCTGGCACACCTCACTCCCAACACACTTCTTCCTCCTGGCACACCTCACTTCCAACACATCCCTCCATCCTAGCACACCTCACTCCCAACACATCCCTCCATCCTAGCACACCTCACTCCCAACACACCCCTCCCTCCTGGCACACCTCACTCCCAACACAACCCTCCCTCCTGGCACACCTCACTCCCAACACACCCCTCCCTCTTGGCACACCTCACTCCCAACACACCTCTCCCTCCTGGCACACCTCACTCCCAACACACTTCTCCCTCCTGGCACACCTCACTCCCAACACACTTCTCCCTCCTGGCACACCTCACTCCCAACACACCCCTCCCTCCTGGCACACCTCACTCCCAACACCCCCCTCCCTCCTGGCACACCTCACTCCCAACACACCCCTCCCTCCTGGCACACCTCACTCTCAACACACCCCTCCCTCCTGGCACACCTCACTCCCAACACACCCCTCCCTCCTGGCACACCTCACTCCCAACACACCCCTCCCTCCTGGCACACCTCACTCCCAACACATCCCTCCCTCTTGGCACACCTCACTCCCAACACATCCCTCCCTCCTGGCACACCTCACTCCCAACACACTTCTCCCTCCTGGCACACCTCACTCTCAACACACCCCTCCCTCCTGGCACACCTCACTCCCAACACATCCCTCCCTCCTGGCACACCTCACTCTCAACACACCCCTCCCTCCTGGCACACCTCACTCCCAACACACCCCTCCCTCCTGGCACACCTCACTCCCAACCCCATCCCTCCCTCCTGGCACACCTCACTCCCAACACATCCCTCCCTCCTGGCACACCTCACTCCCAACACACCCCTCCCTCCTGGCACACCTCACTCCCAACACATATCTCCCTCTTGGCACACCTCACTCCCAACACATCCCTCCCTCCTGGCACACCTCACTCCCAACACACTTCTCCCTCCTGGCACACCTCACTCCCAACACACTTCTCCCTCCTGGCACACCTCACTCCCAACACACCCCTCCCTCCTGGCACACCTCACTCCCAACACCCCCCTCCCTCCTGGCACACCTCACTCTCAACACACCCCTCCCTCCTGGCACACCTCACTCCCAACACATCCCTCCATCCTGGCACACCTCACTCCCAACACACCCCTCCCTCTTGGCACACCTCACTCCCAACACACCCCTCCCTCCTGGCACACCTCACCCCCCTCCCTCCTGGCACACCTCACTCCCAACACACCCCCCTCCTGGCACACCTCACTCCCAACACACCCCTCCCTCTTGGCACAGCTCACTCCCAACACACCCCTCCCTCCTGGCACACCTCACTCTCAACACACTCCTCCCTCCTGGCACACCTCACTCCCAACACACCCCTCCCTCTTGGCACACCTCACCCCAACACACCCCTCCCTCCTGGCACACCTCACTCCCAACACATCCCTCCCTCCTGGCACACCTCACTCCCAACACACCCCTCCCTCCTGGCACACCTCACTCCCAACACACCCCTCCCTCCTGGCACACCTCACTCCCAACACACCCCTCCCTCCTGGCACACCTCACTCCCAACACACCCCTCCCTCCTGGCACACCTCACTCTCAACACACCCCTCCCTCCTGGCACACCTCACTCCCAACACACCCCTCCCTCCTGGCACACCTCACTCCCAACACACCCCTCCCTCCTGGCACACCTCACTCCCAACACACCCCTCCCTCCTGGCACACCTCACTCCCAACACACCCCTCCCTCCAGGCACACCTCACTCCCAACACACTTCTCCCTCCTGGCACACCTCACCCCCCTCCCTCCTGGCACACCTCACTCCCAACACACTTCTCCCTCCTGGCACACCTCACTCTCAACACACCCCTCCCTCCTGGCACACCTCACTCCCAACACACCCCTCCCTCCTGGCACACCTCACTCCCAACACACTTCTCCCTCCTGGCACACCTCACTCTCAACACACCCCTTCCTCCTGGCACACCTCACTCTCAACACACCCCTCCCTCCTGGCACACCTCACTCCCAACACACTTCTCCCTCCTGGCACACCTCACTCTCAACACACCCCTCTCTCCTGGCACACCTCACTCCCAACACACCCCTCCCTCCTGGCACACCTCACTCCCAACACACCCCTCCCTCCTGGCACACCTCACTCTCAACACACCCCTCCCTCCTGGCACACCTCACTCTCAACACACCCCTCCCTCTTGGCACACCTCACTCCCAACACATCCCTCCCTCCTGGCACACCTCACTCCCAACACACCCCTCCCTCCTGGCACACCTCACTCTCAACACACCCCTCCCTCCTGGCACACCTCACTCCCAACACACCCCTCCCTCCTGGCACACCTCACTCTCAACACACCCCTCCCTCTTGGCACACCTCACTCCCAACACACCCCTCCCTCCTGGCACACCTCACTCCCAACACACCCCTCCCTCCTGGCACACCTCACTCCCAACACATCCCTCCCTCTTGGCACACCTCACTCCCAACACATCCCTCCCTCTTGGCACACCTCACTCCCAACACAGCCCTCCCTCCTGGCACACCTCACTCCCAACACACCCCTCCCTCCTGGCACACCTCATTCTCAACACACCCCTCCCTCCTGGCAGACCTCACTCCCAACACATCCCTCCCTCTTGGCACACCTCACTCCCAACACACCCCTCCCTCTTGGCACACCTCACTCCCAACACACCCCTCCCTCTGGGCACACCTCACTCCCAACACACCCCTCCCTCTTGGCACACCTCACTCCCAACACACCCCTCCCTCTTGGCACACCTCACTCCCAACACACCCCTCCCTCTTGGCACACCTCACTCTCAACACACCCCTCCTTCTAGGCACATCTCACTCCCAACACACCCCCTCACTCCAGGCACACCTCACTCTCAACACATCCCTCCCTCCTGGTACACATCCCTCCCTCCTGGCACACATCACTCCCAACACACACCTCCCTCCTGGCACACCTCACTCCCAACACACTTCTCCCTCCTGGCACACCTCACTCCCAACACACCTCTCCCTCCTGGCACATCTCGCTCCCAACACACCCCTCCTTCCTGGCACATCTCACTCCCAACACACACCTCCCTCCTGGCACACCTCACTCCCAACACACCCCTCCCTCCTGGCACACCTCACTCTCAACACACCCCTCCCTCCTGGCACATCTCGCTCCCAACACACCCCTCCTTCCTAGCACATCTCACTCCCAACACACCCCTCCCTCCTGGCACACATCATTCCCAGCACTCCTTTCCACCTATCAGATGTCTGCCTCCAACAGCACCCTACTCCTGCGTCTTGCAACTCCGTGCCTCACTCCGCCCTTGTCATACATCCTCTCCTCCTGCCCGATAACCCCCCAGTCTCCTCCATCCCTCTCATCCGTTCCCCCCTCCCTGGTTCCTCTGCTATCAGCCCCCCCCCCTTCTTTCTCTTTTTCTCCTTTCACTTTTTGCTTCCACTGCTATAATCCACACCCCTTCCTTCTCGTCCCATACCCCTTCCTTGCCGTCCCACACCCCCTCCTTCCCGTTCCACACCTCCTCCTTCCCGTCCCTCACCCCCTCCTTCCCGTCCCACACCCCTTCCTTCCCGTCCCACTCCCTCACACAGGCCTTTACTTCATCAGCTTACACTCAGTGATGCAATGTGTAATGGCGGACTCCTTTGAAGACGCGGCAGAACAGTAAGTTTACAGAGCCTTTGCAACACTGTTTGGCAGCTTGTTTCCGCTTTAATATAACTGCCTTTCAGGGAGTGTTTGTGAAGGCTTGTCAACATTAAGATTTAATATTATTGATATTAAACTAGTACAGTTTTCCTTGCTGGTGTTATCATATCATGGTGGTCGTCTTGGTGGAGATCAAATGCCATGACTCGCCGAGCTGTCCAATTGTTTGGTTGAATAAACCGAATAACGACTCCCATACTTGTCCTGCCAGTATAGAAGCATGGGGATTATTTGCATCAAATAAATTCAGGTACTTAACCAAGTTGGTCTTGCACGTAAGTCATTTATTGGAACTTAGTTTCATATAACTTTGATTTGATTATTATGCAGCCTACATGGCCGTGACGGCAGAGTAGGCACTAGGGTGTGAGGAGTCGTTTAGTGTTGTAGATGCGTGTGAGGGGAGTGTTGTGTGATCTCTGCACGCTCACTACACAAGTCTTCTGCAGCCGGTATTCTTTTTATTTATGATTCATCGTTAACCACAAGAAGGTAAGAGAAAGCTTACCATAATAATTTTTGTTTTACAGAAATATAATAACTTTAGTAGGAAATGGCAAAATCTGATGTAGATGTATTATGACCTTCTTGTAAATGAACTAATACAGTGATTAATAATTCATTAATACAGTGATTTATTCAAATATGTGAATATACATAAGTACCTAAAAATCGATGTTGTCAAGTCTGCCTGTAATAATATTCAGTCAGTACTTGATAACTACTGAGGCTGCCAAACTCAGTTTTCTATGAAGCGAGCTGTAGACGTTTTCTTTGTTTGAGCATCATGGCGTCATAGCTACATTAGTTCAAAGTAACAAACCATTCTTCGTAGTTATTAATAAGTGTTTATATCCTATTAAACCTTTACATTTTTACTGATTTAATTGGTTGGTACTAGTTGCTTTCTTAAGTTCACCGTTGTAAATCCTTGCTGTTGTTAATCACGTTAAGGCTTGTAGATCACATGGGCAGTCTCCGTGGTGTAATGGTTAAGACGCTCGCCTGGCGTTTCGCGAGCACTTTGTCCTGGGTTCGTATCCTGGCCGGGGAGGATTTACTGGGCGTCTATCCTTAACTGTTGCCTCTGTTTAATCCAACAGTATAAAATGGGTACCTGGTTGTTAAACGACTTGGCAGGGTCGTATTCCGGGGAACATAGGATTCTTAGGATACAACTGTACGGGGAACATAGGATACAACTGCAGATTTCATGATGTAGTAGCCTATGCCTGGCATCATTATCATCTTTGTATCGTACATCATGTTATATTTCTTGAACATCTCACATATGTTAACTTTCTCATTCAGCATTGAGCGTTTACCCCATAATACCTGTAAATCACTTTTTTCTGAATTATTCAAACTTTAGCCGAAATGTTTTACGAAGTAGTAGCTTCATTTTATGTACAGCCCATTGTACCGACAATCATACCCTTTTAAAGTACTTTTTATGCAGATTATTATGAATAAAGCATTATTATTATTATGTAAATGGCTTATCAAAACTGTAACGTGCTTAGTTAACGAAGATCAGGGTGCAGTTTCTGAGGCTATTATGTGCTGTATTACACAGCAGAGTTGACGGTGGTCCAAGACGAACGTAAACACTGTCGTCTCCTCATCATCCGGTGTGTGGTATAGCCATCATATCTTCAGCCACACTATTGTGACTCATCGTCTGCATTAGTGAAAATATTCTCCGTGCGACAAATTGTGGTAAACACTCAACTTTAATGAGGTAAACCCTTCCTCTCTGCTCTTGTACACAAACAGTTTACTGAAGTTATACACAACGTTCAGGACAGAAGTATACTTGCTTAGTTAGCCTGTAAGGTCTTTTGGCAGAGTTTACCCTCCAGAGTTCCTTGTAGACCTCAAGCGCAGAAAAAGACATCTACATTTAGGATTAATGATTTATGTAACCTGATTTTGATAAAATAATCACCGAGTTTATTATATTAGTGAATTTTTTTCTGAGGTACCATATCAGCCAACTTGTAAGATAGAAACATAGTATCGTTCAATGAATATTACTGTCGTGAGCATGACCTGATGGTAGAGTATTATCTGTCATGAGCATACTCTGATGGTAGAGTATTACCTGTTATGACCATACTCTAATTGTAGAGTAATACCTGTCATGACCATACTCTGATGGTAGAGTATTACCTGTTATGACCATACTCTGATGGTAGAGTATTTCCTGTCATGAGCATACTCTGATGGTAGAGTATTACCTGTCATGACCATACTCTGATGGTAGAGTATTTCCTGTCATGAGCATACTCTGATGGTAGAGTATTACCTGTCATGACCATACTCTGATAGTAGAGTAATTCCTGTCATGAGCATACTCTGATGGTAGAGTATTACCTGTCATGACCATACTCTGATGGTAGAGTATTTCCTGTCATGACCATACTCTGATAGTAGAGTAATTCCTGTCATGAGCATACTCTGATGGTAGAGTATTACCTGTCATGACCATACTCTGATGGTAGAGTATTTCCTGTCATGACCATACTCTGATAGAGTATTACCTGTCATGACCAAACACTGATAGTAGAGTGCCGGCTCTCGTGACTATACTCTGGTGGTAGAGTGCCAACTCTCGTGACTATACTCTGGTGGTAGAGTGCCGACTCTCGTGACTATACTCTGGTGGTAGAGTGCCAACTCTCGTGACTATACTCTGGTGGTAGAGTGCCGACTCTCGTGACTATACTCTGGTGGTAGAGTGCCGACTCTCGTGACTATACTCTGGTGGTAGAGTGCCGACTCTGGTGGTAGAGTGCCGACTCTGGTGGTAGAGTGCCGACTCTGGTGGTAGAGTGCCGACTCTGGTGGTAGAGTGCCGACTCTGGTGGTAGAGTGCTGACTCTCATGACTATACTCTGGTGGTAGAGTGCTGACTCTCGTGACTATACTCTGGTGGTAGAGTGCCGACTCTCATGACTATACTCTGGTGGTAGAGTGCTGACTCTCATGACTATACTCTGGTGGTAGAGTGCTGGCTCACGTGACTATACTCTGGTGGTAGAGTGCTGGCTCACGTGACTATACTCTGGTGGTAGAGTGCTGGCTCACGTGACTATACTCTGGTGGTAGAGTGCTGACTCTCGTGACTATACTCTGGTGGTAGAGTGCTGACTCTCGTGACTATGCTCTGGTGGTAGAGTGCCGACTCTCATGACTATACTCTGGTGGTAGAGTGCTGACTCTCATGACTATACTCTGGTGGTAGAGTGCTGGCTCACGTGACTATACTCTGGTGGTAGAGTGCTGGCTCACGTGACTATACTCTGGTGGTAGAGTGCTGACTCTCGTGACTATACTCTGGTGGTAGAGTGCTGACTCTCATGACTATACTCTGGTGGTAGAGTGCTGACTCTCATGACTATACTCTGGTGGTAGAGTGCTGGCTCACGTGACTATACTCTGGTGGTAGAGTGCTGGCTCACGTGACTACTCTGGTGGTAGAGTGCTGACTCTCGTGACTATACTCTGGTGGTAGAGTGCTGACTCTCGTGACTATACTCTGGTGGTAGAGTGCCGACTCTCGTGACTATACTCTGGTGGTAGAGTGCTGACTCTCGTGACTATACTCTGGTGGTAGAGTGCCGACTCTCGTGACTATACTCTGGTGGTAGAGTGCTGACTCTCGTGACTATACTCTGGTGGTAGAGTGCCGACTCTCGTGACTATACTCTGGTGGTAGAGTGCTGGCTCTCGTGACTATACTCTGGTGGTAGAGTGCTGGCTCTCGTAACTATACTCTGGTGGTAGAGTGCCGACTCTCGTGACTATACTCTGATCACGAGACTTTTCACATCAAACTGTGAAAACCGGAATCTGATGGGCGAGTGTCAGCTGTCATGACCAAAATCTTAGAAAAGTTTTTTGGTTGTCATAACTCTTCTCTGACAGTAAAGTTTTGGCTGTCATAATCATAATCAGATGGGGAATGTTGGTGCGGGAAATTTACCAGTGTGATTTTTTTTAAATATTTCTTTATTTTATTTATTAAATAATTTATGTTGTAATTTTCTTGTTAAATTATTTATCTTCAAGTGGACTGCATAGAATAATTTTCTCCCATAAATATATTCCTTACAAGCTTGGTGGGTTTTCTGATTAAATTTTGCTACACTGTGATTAAACGGTTAGCATATTTATAAATTCCATTAAACCGTAATTAAACAGTTAATGGATAAATTCACATACATATAAATGTCATAATTAGTAATTATGATGGTTAGTATAACTAAAGCTTTAGTCACCTTATCTGACTTGAAGGCTGCGACAGTCTTCTGGGCCGCATTGACGCAGTACACTGTCAGTCTGCTGACAGTAGTGGGTCAGGTGTGGTACACGTGAGTCGGTCCTCTGCTAAAGCAATGGCGTTGTGTCTGGTGACGCCGTTTTAACATGAATGACGAATCAAATCGAATCAAAGACCCTAGGGCAGGTAAGCAGGGGATGGAAGGCTGGGGCGAGAATGCATAAAAAAAAGCAGGGAACAGGGTACATGTCGGAGGAGCGGGGCACAACTCGGTGGCCCAGCTACCATGGGTTTGACTTGGCAGTGATACTGGACAGCGATCTCGTTGTCCATTTGCATCCCTGGGCGTCGCACAGGGACTCGGTTCCTAGGCAGCTGGCAGTTATTGGTGTTACTTCAATCTTGGGTCTCCGTTTGAAAGCCTTCTGACTTCTGAGCTCTTCTTACTTCTTCCTTCTGGCATTTTCCGTCAAGCTTGGGTCGTTGGTCTCCTTCGGCTTCGAGGTAGTCTTACTTCTTGTTGACATTACAGTGTTGTCGTTCGAGGTTGTAAGTGTGGTGTCCAGAAGGAAATCTTCAGGTCTGCAGTTGCACTTTCGATGAGGAGAGAATGGAGCTCCAACTGAGACATCTTCGTCTGACGAATCGCTTGGATCAAGAGCAGTGACAGTGATCATCGGAGGTGTTGTAGTAGCAGGTCCTGCAGCCAGAGTAGAAGGTTCAGTGGGAGTATGCAGTGTCTGTGGCGCGATGGTAGTAGATGGTTCTGAAGGTGGCACTACGGCAGATGATGGGTGGAGCTGCAGCAGATGAATGAGAAATTCCTCACACTTCGTGTTGTCCCGACTCCAGCCTGCCCAAATGTTATAATGTATCCATGCACACAAACTGTTTTATTGTTATTTGATGAATATAAATCATTCAAGTCGAGTTGTAAGGGACACTCACCTCTCTGGGCTGAGTCATGCGTCCTTACCACCAATACCCTAACACTCAGATATAATAAGGTAAAGACAGAATAGGATGCACTTTCCTGTTTGATGTCTTGGTCGAAATGCCCCAAATTCATAGACTGATTGATAAAGATTATCCACCCAAGAGGTGGCACGGGCCCGTAAGAATTCATAGGAATCTCTTAAGTTTACATTCCAGCGGCGCACTCCGTGCTTATTTATCTATCATTTCTACTACATATATTTTCTCTAAC